CTATTCTAACATCACCATCATCACAATCTGTAAAATGATTTCAGGCATAAAATAAGAGAATTAATTTGAACACTCTACCATATCCGCACAAGACTCCAGCAACATGATCCCTGGAACAATTTGATTGAGGATAAACCGATCTACCACAATCAGCAAGGTCAGTTTCCCATCCTCCACAAGCAAAGTTGGAATAAACAATGGGATAATACCCAGCACCAAATGAAGAGTTAGAATAGGACACTGGCTCTGTGAGAAAAATACAATGAGCATAATTAGGTTAGTCATTACTTTACCTCTTTCTGAATGACCCAACTGTGTACAGAGTACGTGTGCATCAGTCTTATCCCATCCTTTATCACAGACAGCTCCCCACACTCCATTATAACATATTTCAATTCTTCCTTCATTCTCAATGATACCGTTAACTAGCCTAGTCTCACCATTAGTACACATGCCAGGGTCTATATGATCATTGATAATTGAGAACAGTAAGTTAATCTATACTTACTGAAGCATCTTATGGCAATATTAGTGTGTGGACACCAAGGGGTACATTCAGAAGTATGGACTGTACACTGAGACATGCTAGATTCAAATCCAGAGCACGTAATATTGTAAAACAAACTGAAGTTTCTAACAACTCCATAATCAGTAGTTGGGATAATAGAAGCAGCTATAAGAAAGGTGAGACCATAAAAGAATTATTTCTTTACTAACGTACCAGTATAGCTAGTAAACCCCATTTGTCTACAAGCAACAGAAGCAGCCACAGGATCCAGTTTACAGAATGGTGACCAGTATCCATTATAACAATACTCTAATCTACCAGTACCTGCTTCCTGACTACCTTGTACTCTTATTACATTAGCATTAGGAATACATTCTGTTCCCGGAGTGCTGACCCAGTCTGGTGTTTTAATGCATTCACTTGGTTCATCATAAATACAATCAACTCCAGCCACTTCATCAGTTGAAAGAGCTAGTTTACCATTATTCAGTGAAAGTACTGTCTTAGAGCAATGCGTTATGTCCATTTCTTGACCAAAGCAAGACACATGCCTGAAATGTACCATAAGGTTTGGCTTTCCAAAATATGACCCAGTAATAGGTGTAGCAACTAAAACATAAAGAAATGAGTTTAAAATTAACACTGAATGAATGACATACTTCCATCACTGTGTCCTAGTGAGTTACAAACAACTCTAGCATCTCCCATACTCCATGCTGTGTCTGATATTAGACCCCACAAGTTATTGTAGCATACAAGAACAGTCCCTTCATTGGAATACTTGCCACCAATTAATTGTATGTCCCCATTCTGACACTCTATAAAGCACATTAGCTATGGTATCTAAGGGAATTTAACTAACGGTCTTTGCATAAAACTCCTGCCCCGTTTTGCTGAGTGCAGTTAAAATTTGGTTGAACATTTTTGTTACAGCTCTGAATACTAGTCTCAAACCCAGAGCAACCAACATAACTCCATATAATTGGACCATAAGTCTCACCAAAATAAGAATCATAGTACACACTAGGACCTATAATAATTTATATTCTCATTAGTATGTTTAATGCATAATTTGTGCAAACCAGGTCCATTGTATCCTAGCCCTTTGCAGAATACAGTAGCATCAGGTGAGCTCCAACCAGTTTCACAGATGCCTCCCCAAACTCCATTCAGGCATATTTCAACTCTGCCCTCTTGTTGAATTGTACCATTAGCCAGTCGAAGTTGTCCATCAGTGGTACATAAACCAGGATCTATTAAAAGTAATATTAATTATACCCTGGTACTTCATCAATATATGAGGTCAATAACTCACTGTAACAGCGTACACTATACTCTGTCGTGCATCTTGAATTTAATATGTAGCATGAACTTTCTTTCCTTGCTTCAATGCACTGAGACAAAGCAAGGTGCCCAGTGCCACAGTGTTTGTGATTGAAACTGCTCAGCTTGTTGCTTCGTCCAAACCTCTCGTCATCAAAAACACTACCATCTATGATTGAAATATTTAAAAACAGTAAGCAAGTATATGTATATATTCCTTACAAGTGTAGTTGTATCCCAGTTGGTTGCATATAAGTGAAGCAGTTGCTGATGACATACCACAGAATGGCACCCAGTCTCCTTCATAACAATACTCTGCTCTACCTTCATTACTAGTAGTACCATTGACTAGTCTCACTGCTCCATCAATGCAATTATTAGCTACACAAACACTCATTGTTAATTACAAGTATATATGATTGTAGTGTATATGGTATACCTTGAGAAGGTGAGTAGCAGACAAGACCAATTTCATAGCCACTAGCTGTACATCTATTGCAGTATCGACGGCAACCACCCCACCATGAATATGAACAGCAATAAGTTGACGCAGAATACGAACACTGAGAAAGTGACGTGTGATATGAAGAGCAGTAATAGCTGCCTGTATCATAATAACTATCATGGTATGATCCATAGTAGTAAGTACTGCTCCTTGTTCCTACATAAAAAGAGGTACAGTAACACTTTTAAAATCTATGCTAAAATAAACAAGTTGAAAGATATTGTCTCACTGACCAAGTGCCCCAGGATATCCCATTGCTTGGCACATCAGTTTAGCATTATAGCAGCTGAAACTATAACCACAGATGCTCTTCCATACCCCACTACGACAAACAAGTGTGATCCCTTCATTAGTTGGGCCGGTATTATTATATGGTCTCCAAAGTTTAATTTGTCCGTTGGTACACGTCCCAGTTACTCTACCTAATACATCATTTTATCATAACACAGTAAATATCATACATTAACTGACCATAGCAGTATGCACCAGCATCTTCACTGTGAGAACAACCAGAAGAACCAGGAGTGAAAGTACAGGAAGAAAGACTAGAGCTTGAAGATGTGCAGCCAACGTTTCTAATAGCAATCGGCACATAACCTTGACCATAGTTAGCACAACAAGAATAGCCTCCAGTGGTACCTGAAAAACATTAGAAGAAAGCAAACTAGCAGATTTTTACTATCCTTTACCATCGAAACCAAGTTCCCTGCAAACAGTTCTTGCATCAGTAGTATCCCATCCATCATCGCAAACAGTACCCCATTGGTTGTTATAGCAAAATTCAACACGCCCATATGACCTATAAGATGCTGAGACTGATATCAAACGAACATCATGATTGTTACAAGCTCCACCACCTAAACGACAAATCATGATACATATATAGCTGAGATGACTTCCCCTTACTCTGGCAAACCACTCCGGCAATAGTAGTGCCTGTGCAAGAGCTAGTCAGGGAAGTTGAATAGGGGCAGTTGTTAATAGTGGTCTCTGAGCCAGTGCAACCAACATAATCAATCCACACAGTACCATTACCCCAACCATAGTATGAACTACTTCGTGCAACAGCTCCTATTATCATAGTGCAGAAAGTATTTTTGCTTTTTATTGCAAGTTTTTTTATATTTACAAACCTCCAGTTGAGTACCCCAGTTGCCTGCAGGCAACCATTGCATCAGCACTACTGAAAGAGTTGTGGCAGACCCAGCCCCATATATCGTTCAGGCATATTTGCAAGTTTCCTTCCCAGGAACCAGCACCCCAAACTAGACGAACTGCACCAGTAGAGCTACAATTTTGAGCATCTAAAAATTAAAAAGGATGCAACAGTTATTAGTTACAACCATGAGCTCATTAGTACCTGCAGAATAGAGCAAGAATACAGCAACAAGAAAGCGCAAAGCAGCGTTCATCTTGTTTAGTTTTTTCTGTGGACTATAGAATGGGGGCGGGCTGGCAATAACAATATTCATGGTAAAATCAGAATGATTCATCATATTTAATTAAATTTAGACTATTGAAGCTGCAAATTAACCAATCAGGGTTTGCATTTAAAAATTATTATATAGACTAGATCTAGATATAAAAATTGCAAATAATAATTCAGTAGTCTATTAGTGATAATCGTGTTTCTTTTAAAATTAGTTAAACTAATTCAGTGCTCCCTGCACTTTTCTGTTGGTAGTAAGGTTCATTGGTACACATCACTTGTTCTAGATAACATGGAACCTCCTTGACTAACTTCTTCTACTGGCTTTGAATAGGATTGATGCTGGTTAGGAGGAGAAAGAGGAGGAGGAAGAATAGAGTGAGAAGGAAGAGAAGGAGAGACAGTAGAAGTTGTAGGTGTAGGCATAGCTGATTGAGAAGAAGCTTCTTCATCAAATGGTTCATTATACTGCTGAGCAGGTTTGATTGGATGCATCTCTCCAATACGCTTGGCTAAGTTTGGATGACCTACTGATATAGTACACAAAGCAAGGCAGAGGCTCCTCCATGAGGGATGGTCATTGGTCATCATCCATCTCTGGATTATATCTTTGCGACACTCCTCAACAATATGATTGTGTGATTTCTTGACAATATCCATGATAGGTGGATCAAGTTTTAACGCTAGTCCCAGATCCTCCCAGTTAGAAACATGATGAATAGCTTCTATGACACTCAAGAAGTCTTGTCCAGTGTAATCTATACACAATGGGATATGTCATGAATGTAATACTATAGTAATACTCACAGTTAAGAGGCGAGTTATCAACTGATTGTAGCCAATCAACCTCCACTTGCACTTCCTTCTTTGGTATTTGAACATCATTACCTAATAGCACACAGGAAGATCACAATTATAACTAATTAATTTATAAATGAATAGAGTAGCTATTTATATTAGACTACACAAACTTACTATTATCGAACCAGTAAGA